CCTCTTATCAGTTGGAACCTCTAATACCCGCCACCATTCGCCACTTCGGTGACGGCGGCGTCACCACGGGGCTTGTGCCAGGCCAGGTGCTCTTTTGAGGCCACGCCAAGTGTCGAAGGCTCGCCGACACGAGGTCTCTGGACAGACCCAGGTGTCCATGGCTTCGCTGACTGAGATGATTAGTAGATGCACCACCACCGGCTGTAACCCCTTACTGTGCCAACCACGGTGGAAGCACCACAATAAGTTCGTGGGACCTCTAATCACAGTGCCACTTGACAATTTACACAAAGAGGGATATAATAAATGTCAAGCTTAGAAAGTAGATGAATATGGTACTGAAATAAGTGTACAGTGTATGCAGCAAATCTTAATGCCATATTTTAACAAAAAAATGGTGTTTTATCATTAATCGGAAAGGCAGTGGCATGTATAATTGGTTCACTAATTATATTCACCCAGATAACTGATTTAAAATAGTGATCTCATGCTCTTAGTTTCTCACTTTATTCTGAGTTGATTTAATTTATATTAAACAGTAATTGCATGTAAAACTTCAAACTTCCTCAATAACCTCCAATGTATTTGGAGAATGCACCATGGATATAGAACACACCACACACGGCAACTCACTTTTAAGTTCCACGAGCAATGTGCTTTCATGACTAAACCATGCGGGGGGCGGTCAAGGCAATGTAACCTACCCCTTAAATCTCTTTTCACATTTCAAATTGGCATAGCAATAGTTTAATAAGTTATTTTGTTTAACATCAACAGTCATTCCAATGCATGATTGTGGAGTGACTGATGGCATTTCCAGATATACCAAGACAAATATACATTATTTTGAAAGGAATGAAATTACTTACGTTGAAATATACACAGTTTAAAATGTGTTGCAAAATGTTGTGCTGTATGTATGTTCAACGTATTTCACATCGTACATAGCCAACCGTGCTAATCGAAGAAGTGGGCGAATGACAACAAACTAAACACAAAAGGGAGTTCAAAAGAAATTAGTTTTCAACATGAGTTTTCAAATGCGTTTTCATGTTTTAAACCTCATCACTGTCGTAAGGGTGAGGGATTAAAGTTCAAATCTCCAATGGTGGTGAATTGTGGGACGTTAGCAGAGGTCTTCCTATAGATCAATTGATCTAAGTATATATTGTATTTGACCAGGTAAGGCCCACTTGAGCAATGTAGCTCTGTTTCAGAAGCCACATGGTCATAAATGATAGCTCAACGAAGTGGCTTAGGTGGGAATTTATAGCAGCCAAATACTCTAAACGCATGTTTCTAAATGCGGAGGGAAAAACCAAAGGACACAGAGCAAAAATCAAATCGACCACGGGGAGAACATGGAAACTCCAAATATACAATAGGCGTCAGGGTCGGGATCGAACCCACGACTTCCTGTATACCAGGCGAGGTCGTTAAAATCTTTCCACCGCAGTGCCCTGGGACGTCCTCAGAAAACCAGGGACGGGTGATATACGGTAGTCCTCGTTGTGTTTGAACTGGGTTCTCAAGTGTAGTGATGGTTTCGGTATGGACACCGATGCCTGAAACAAAAATAGTCATAAAATGTGTTATTTTGCTTTTAAAATGTTCTGCATTCCTGCAGTGGGAGTAAAAATTATTGGTTTGACTACTATGCAACAATCTGATTGCAGAGCTTATGGTAACGTGCGGTGCAGAACTTATGGGAACGTTATTATGGGAACGTACTTATGGCAACGTGCAGAGCTTATAGGAACGTGCTTATGGGAACGCGCAGAGCTCATTGGAACGTGCTTATGGGAACGCGCAGAGCTTATGGGAACTTTTAGAGCTTATGAGAACGCGCTTATGAGAACGTGCAGAGCTTATAGGAAAGTGCTCCCCCTACTGTGCAAAGACAAAAAATCCACCGTCAGGAAGTTTCAACGTTCTGAGGCCATTCTGTTTTACACGTGGCGCACTGTTTTGAACGGTATCAGAGTATAATAGAACGGATTATTCTTCTTATGACATGATGCCGACAGGACACCATTTTGGAACAAAACCCCTGCACAATTCAAACAAGCGTGGAAGAAAATCACTACCATTACCAAGACCTAGATCATCATGAGAACTCATTCAGTATTGCCATTGCCACCACAAATACCACCCACACAACTATTACCAATCAATAATTACAAACACCACTTACACCACCATTACCACCACAATTCACACACACACTCACTATCATCATCATCATCCCCGCTACCCTGACCGAGGGTACGGCAAATCAGGGCGACTGCTTCGGGCCCCGCGCTTTGGGGGAGGGGGGGGGGCGCTTTGACGTCACGGTTTCAGATGTTAATACTCCCAGTTTAGTTTGAAGGTGTTGGGGGGGGGGGCACACGGTAGATTTGCCCCGGGCCCCGCACCCCCCTGTGGACCATGAACAAGACAAAGATTACCCCCGTATAGCCTTAACAGACTGTAGGGGCAAGTGCTGTTAGCGAGCACCTACGAAGGTCGGAACGGTACACGAGGGGGTGGATGGCCAGTATCATGCCCGACCGCCTTTGTCTCCCCGTTAGCGACGTTTACACACCGCACCAGGTACTCATTTGAGGCTGAGTCGACCTAAGGGAGGCCCAGAACCGGTTCAGATAATCGTCACCGATGTTGGCCGTGAGCGGGAATCGGACTCGACTGGACAGGTCCCTAGCACGGTGCGCTAACCGCTGGACAACCGCTCACCACATCACCACCAGTACCAACAACCACATTCACGATCCAAGCCATGTGATCGGGCCCAATGCGACGCAGCTGTGCACGCTGAGTCTCTCCCCCCCCCCCACCCATGGGGTCAGTACCACTGCAATGCAACAATAAAAAAGGTATTACAATAATTAACACATCTATGTATAGCCTACTCTGTAATCATTACAAGAAGTCAGGAATTGTTTTTTTCCTGCTCAAATAAATAAATTACAGCATAAGTCAGGGGTCGGCAACCTGCGGATCCGGAGCCACATGCGCCTCTTTAAGGACTGCTTCTTGCGTTATTTATTAAGGAAGCACCGTCTCCTATGCACGTGCATTGCGGCTCTTTAAATATCGAGTTGTTTACCGAATTCGGAAGAAAAAAAAGTCTCTTCTTGTTATTTTGGTTGCCGATTCCTGATATAAGCGATATCCAAGGCTGGCTTCAGCCCTGAGATGAATTGTGCTTCCACAGGGGGCGTCTTGCTCTTTACGCCACGGTACTCCTGGAAACTTGGGGACTTTGTAACTCATTCACTGATCAGTAGTATTCACTTTTTTTAGTGTATTATGGATTACATTCTTAACAGTAAACATATGTTTTAATTGATGGCAAAATTGATTAAAATGCTTCCAATCAGATTAGATGATCGGACGGTGGTGTCATCAGCCCATCATGATGTGACACGATTCAAGAGCAATCAGATTATATGCATCTAATTATTTTTTTAAAAATCACATGCGATACGATTCTAATCCGATCCATTTGTGTTCCCGTATACAACAAAAAATCAATGTGTCAGCCTGTAGCTTGAATGAAATACGAACAAATACAATTATGTTATTTAAACTAATTGGCATTCAAATAGTTTTGTCCCAGTTATAATTAAATAAATTAGTAAGTACATGATGTGCGGCGTCTGTGTTCATAGGTCTTTAGAGTTATAATTTTTGCTGCTGTTTACAATATCATTTAATAAGTACCGTATTGTACAATAACATTTTTTTTTATATAATTCAAGAATTGACATTTTTCTGGTGAGATTCAATTTAAACATCAATGTATTCTCTCTAAATAGTTAGAAACAGTCATCTTTATATCTTTTTTTATGACACTCATACATGCTTTGACAAAGATCCCCCATATAGCCTGTAGCAGACTTGGAGCAAGTGCTTTTAGTGAGCACCTATGAAGGCCAGAACGCCACACGAGGGGGTGGATGGCCAGCACCACGCCCGGCCGCCTTTGTCTCCCTAGTGGCAATGTTTACACATAACACTAGGTACTCATTTGAGCCTGAGTGGACCTAGGAGAGGCTCAGGACTGGTTCAGCTAATTGTCACTAGTGTTAGCCGTGAGCGGGAATCGAACTCGATACGCTAGGTTCGTAGCGCAGCGCGCTAACCGCTACACTACCGCTCCCCACGCATGCTTTCACGCACACATATTCACACACACTTGCAATAAAGATGTCCTATTTTTCCATCATCCACTGGTGAGGCACGCGCTGTCAGCAAGCACTTATTAAAGCTGTCGAAAAACATACGCTGTCACAAGTGAACCCTGCCATGTTATCGATGGTTACAATTTGTAGTGCAATGTAATCGGGGGACTGTATTGTCTTGGTGTTGTTTTTTTCAGTCTTGCCAGAGCTTGCATTTGGTCTTGATGGGTCTGCAGGAGTTTGTGTACTAGTGCAATTTGTACTTCCATGCTGTATTTACATATATATTTATAGTAACTTGCCTACCTTACTTGCTGACCTGCCCCTACTGTAAACAATAGCTTAATCAGATTCCTCCTCCAGGATAAATAAAGATTCTGATTCTGAAGTTGATATGTAAGCCTGCTGATGTTCACACGCCTCTCCAAGCGCTCATTTATTTTATGGTTAAGTCGACATAGGAGTTGCTTAGGACAGGGTCAAATGCCATGCGTCATTATTTTGACTCCATGACTAGAGATTAAACTCAGGTTACTGGAATCTTAGCATCGAGAACGGACCACTGCACTTCTGCTCGTCACACACCCACACGCAAAGTATATATATACAGTAAAGGCAATATGACCAAAGGCTTTCACTCGAGTAAGTAATTTTAAACAAGCACCACTTGCCAGCAGTTGGAATAATGCAGTTGGCCAGGCGGGCCAAGTTAAAGCCCTCTTTAGAGAGCGGCACGGGTCGTCCTTAAGGGCCACGGTGAGGGCAGCGTGACGCTGGAATGGGAGGTGGGAGGAGGGGAGGCCTCCTGCCTCGTTCTCAAATGCCTCTCACCTCAATCCCACACTACCCCCCCCATTGCTGTAGTCGGGCGCTGAGCAACGGAACGAGACCGGTGCGAGGCAGGCGAGCGTGCGGCGGCCACCAGAGAGGCGCGCCGCGTTTCGTACCGCGAGCTGACCCCGTCGTAAAATCGCAACGAAAAGTTAACGGAGGTTTACGTCGGGAGCCCCATCCGCTAAATGTTTCCCGAAATAAAGTGCCGCATTGCAAGTCCTCCAGGCTGCGACGACATGCCGGGCGTTGAGTCGCGAGCGGCGAGGGGGAGCCGTTGTTGAGGTCGGTCCCGTAGTTAGACGGCACGTTGTTGGCTGTGCGCGTGGGCTGCTTGGCCACGACCCTTCTGCTGCTGCCCCTGCCGCTGGCGACGACGATGTCTCTTCGAAGTGCGACCGTGGCTCGCTGATCCGGAGCCCGGAGCCCACAACCTCCCGAAGGCCCTCGTCGCCCTGCGCGCCGGCGTTCCCGCGCCCTCGCCGAGATGTCCGACGCTCTGTCCGCCAGTTCCGCGTCGACGGTCCAGTCGAGTGGGAACAGGGTCCTGCAGTTGGCGAGCCGCGGGGAATGGTCAGCCGTGGAGCAAGCCCTGAGGGGCATGGACCGCGGGGACACCGAGCTGGGCCACGTGGACGAGGTACGCGCTCGTGCGGTGGGTGGCACTGTGGCTGTCGTCAGGTGTCTGGTCGCCCTCAACACAATTAGACATGGCTAAGAGAAACGCACAACCTTTTAGACAAAACAAAAATAACGGTGTATATTTATGTTTGCGTGTGTTTTGAGTCCTGCTCTTGAACAAGGTGACAGAGCCTTCAAGTAAGAAAGGAGAGCACAAACAGTAGGCTCAATTCTGAGTCAATAACAACAATAAACTCGGTTTTCTGAAGCACAATTTGCACAAGGCCTCGAAGCAGCCAGTGGTTGTTGTGGAGTCGACATAGTCGTAATGCAGCGGATCTCCTTTCATCGGCGCCGAGGTGTGGGTGAACTCCACATATCCCCCTTTGTAATTTCACCAGCAACCACCAGGAACCATTCGCCAGTGGGACCCCTGCAACTTCTACAGTCCCTGATGGGTGGCGCCAGCCAGCGCCACGGCCACTGTGATGCGGGGTGGACACAGGGTACTATAAAGTATAAAAAAACAATATAACAATTAACTTTTTTTCATGTCATCAGGGAAAGGTTCACTGAGCTTTATAGTTCCTTTTTCAGAAGCGAACTGGCCACGAATGATAGCTCAATGAAGTGGCTTGTCACGTGGAAATATAGCAGCCAAATACTCTCAAACGCATGTTTCTAAACGTGGAGGGTAAAACTGGAGGGCCCGGTGAAAAATCCACACGACCATAGGGAGAGACACACGCAAACTCCAAATATACAGGCGTCGGGTCAGAATTGAACGCACGACCTCCTGCATACCAGGTGAGGTCGTTGACATCTCACCGTTGTGGCGCCCACACACTTCAACGACGTCTCTCAGGCGCGCCCGCCCGTCCCGTCGCACCGCGGACATTGTAGCGCACGCAAATAACAGGCCCCGACTCAAGACGGTCATTCCTTTCTCGAGTGGTGGTTGCTAACTCTGGAGGTTTGGTAACCTGAATAAAGCTTTGTGGGAGGGCGATACTGAATTGGTCGTCCAATGGGTAGAGTGGCCCCCACCATGGGAACGTGGAATTTATGCCACTAGCACAGCCACCAATTGACATGATCACCGCCGTACACTGATTTAAGCAGACACATTTGGATTTGACAATCTGGCCCAGTTTGGTGCAGGTAGATACATTGCAGGTATGCCAAGTGAATGTCATGAACAATAGCAAGTTGGGATGGCATAAATGCGTTAAGTATCCTGAATCAGTGTTGGAAATTCCACATTGTCATGGTAGGGACCAGTTTACCAAAGCCAGAGCTGGCTTCTTCGTTCCTAACAAGTGATGATGATAGGCTGGGCTTACTTTGGCGAGGAATTTGGACTCATGTTTGAGATGCTAAACGTGAGCGATAATTTACACGTAAAGATACATAGCATTATTATGACCTCTGGCTTATAGCGACACCGTACATATATCCACGGAAGTAAAGTGATGATTTGAACTATTGCACTTGTTCACAGCAGTGAGAGAGCCTGGTAGCCTTACAAATTCAGTTTATTTCAGTCCTGAAGTGAGGTTTTCTTACCGCGGGCATTTGTGTGCAAATACCAACCGAAACTCCTACCTGAATATATTTAATACATAATAGTTGATCACTTTGATATATTATATATACACACACTGCAGTAATACAAGTGCCGTATAAGATATTTGTACGTAGTGCATACAAACTCAGGGTGACTACATAATCACTTGCGAGCTCAAAGCCTGCTGATTGTTTAACAGGCGTTGCCCTGTACAGAGACTCGCTCCCGCCACAGGAATGTGGAATTTCCACCACTGGCTCAGGACCACCACGGTGGACGAGCTGAATCGTGGCGAACTTTTTTGCCTCTTCTATTTCTGTTTTGTCGAACACGGGGCCTGGCAACAAACGGCACGATTAAAGTTGTCAAGGACGGGACTCGATGCGCGTCGCTTTGATGTAACGATGCCATCAGAGCTTGGAGAAGAATAAAAGAGACGAATGGAGGGAATTGTTAAGTGGCTGCTGCGCGAGTGAATGAGCAAGCCAGTGACGCGGGGTGGCCTGCAGGGTTAGTGGTGGTGGTGGTGGTGTCCAGTCCTGCGTGGACGAGAAGGAATTGGGAGTCTGGAAGAGCAAGCAGAGAGATCAATGGGTGACGTTCACTGGAACAGTAACCGTGGTAGTAGCGATAGTAGGGTGATAAGGAAGTGATATAAGTGGTCAGTCGCCTCCTTGTGAGTACACGTACAACCCGTGCGGTGTGCGAGTGCGTGTGAACTCGCTGCACGGAGAATGTATTCGGAATTCAATCACCTTGCGTCGCTCGTTTTAAACACTCACAACAAAGCGTTCTCTCAGCGGCAGCAGTCCCCGTGCGTCCCACACTTATTGACGTGCAGGCAAAGTGTCCTCTTGCCTGGCACCAGCTCTGCCACCCAGCACGCAGGCACACACAAGACAAAGATCCCCCGTATAGCCTTTAACGGGCTATTGGGAGTGGCAAGTGCTGTTTTTGAGCATGGCTGGCCACGGGGTGTGTGGCCCAGCAACACGTGCGGGGGCCGCCTTTGTCTCAAGCCTCGTGGATGGGATTTTTGAACACATCCACCGGCAGCTCACGGTGTGCTCATCTTGTGGCGGAGTCGACCGAGGCGAGGCACAGGACCGGTTCGGGCAAAGCACGCGGGCGCACATTGGCTCGCTCACACGCACACACAACACACACAACACGCACACACAACACACCACACAGCACACACACAACACGCACACGCAACACACATACACACCACACAACACACAGAACACGCACACACACAACACACATACACACCACACACACAACACGCACACACACAACGCACACACAACACCCACCACACACCCCACGCACACACAACACCCACCACACACACCACGCACACAACACGCACACATAACACACACCATACATACACGCACCACACACACACCACGCACATACACACCACACACACAACACGCACACACATAACACGCACACACACAACACACGCACACAACACAACACATACAACACGCACGCACACAACACACACACAACACACGCACACAACACAACACATACAACACGCACACAACACGCACACACACAACACACGCACACAACACGCACACACACAACACGCACACAACACACACACAACACGCACGCACACAACACACACAACACGCATACACATACACCACGCACACACAACAACGCGCACACACACAGAACACGCACGCACACAAAACACACACACACACAACTCACACACAAAACTCCCTCGCTCTCCCAAGCGCCGCGCGTTTACCCCCCTGTAGCGCTAAGAAATCAAAACTGTCGCTCCGCGTGTTGAGAAGAAGCTTCGCCCGCAGTAACTCCCCCCTCCCCACCACCACCACCACGGCGTTGAGCAGCCATGCATTACACACAGCTTGTTGGAAAGTGCCACCATCTCCATACAGAGCCAGCGGTGGCTCTGTGCGACAAACGCACACACACGCACGCGCACACACACGCACACACACGCGCACACACACACGCGCACGCACACACACACACGCAACAACAACCGCCATTCGCCACTAATTGGCGGAGACGTCACCACGACGCTTGTGCCAGGCTATGTGCACCCTGAGGCCACGTGAAGTGTCGAACGCCCGCTGGCAGGAGGTCACGGGGCAGACCCAGGTGCCACGGGTCGACTGACTGAGATGACTGAGACGAATGGCTGATGCACCACCTGTGCCCCCTACTGTGCCAACCTGCTGTGCTTTAGCCACCCGGCGCTCCGCTCGTTGTTCTGAGCGTCGCTCCTCCGCCCTCCGTTGTTGGAGGGCGACTTCCTCCAACTGCCCAGTAGCGTCCTTCACGAGCCTCCTCCACAGAGGCCGATCTTGACACCGCTGGTACCGGTCATCGGCAAGTCCAGTCAGCCCCACGTCCTCCTGTACCACATCACTCCATCTCTTCTCTAGCCCGTGCCGCGCCCGCTTAGCCCCCTCAATCCGGCCAAACAAGAGCTGTTTCGGCATGCGGTGGCTGGGCATGCGGGCTACATGACCCAGCCATCGCAGCCTTCCCCGCCGGAGGAGCTCACCGATGGGACCTTGCCCAGATCTTTCAAGGATTTGTGAGCTCCTCACACAATCCAGTCTGGTTAAACCCAGGATGGATCGTAGGCAGGCCAGCCTAAATGTTTCTAACCGGCGAAGATGTTCCATTAGGGGGGTCCACGTTTCGCAAGTGTAGAGAAGGGAGGGAATGACCGTGGCCGAGAAGACCTGAAGCTTAGTGCGGAGCGACAGACCAGGTAGTTTCCACACAGCGTTACGCAACCGATGAAAAGATATTGCCGCTCGTCTGATTCGGAGTGAGACCTCTGCTGTTAAACTGGAGCCAGTCATAAGCACACTGCCCAGTTATGGGAAACTCTCCACTCTCTCCACAACTGCCCCATCACCGATTGGGAGTTGTGGGGGGTGGAGTGTCCGATGGTACAAAATACCCAGGCAGGTGCTTAGTTTTGGTGGGGCTGATGGTAAGGCCCCACCTCTTAGTGGCACGCTCCAGTCTCAGCAGCAGCGTCTCCAACTCCTCCTCTGAATGAGTAGCTATTACCAAATCATCAGCATACATAACGTGGTTGAGCAATAGGGAGCCATCCCTTGACCGCACCCGGGCGTCGATCAGCCTCCCATTATATCTGTACCATATGGAGATTCCCCCGGTACAGCTATTGAAGGCTTCACGAACTACGTAGTCAAAATAGATGTTAAATAATGTGGGAGCCAGAGGACATCCCTGTCGCACCCCCAAGTTAACAGGGAATGGCTCTGACTCCCGGCCACGTAGTTTTACCCGGGCCCGCTCACCATCATGAAGGTCCTTAATGATCGTGAGCAGAGGGTCAGGTACTCCAAAAGCACGAAGAACAACCCAGAGCCCAGGCCTACTGATGGTATTATAGGCCTTGACCAGGTCAA